CCCCCTCCCCCCTCTCCCCTCTCTCTCTTATTATTATTATTTTATCAAAAATGCCTTTATCTAGGTATTCTCTCATTTTTTCCTTCTTCGTTGGGTTTGATGATCTATATATCCATGGGCTAGAGGTAGGTTAGTTTTGTTCTATCTACTTCTCTCGACATAAGCTCGATAGCCTTGAGATAGGGGAAGGTATTCTATTGCCAATATATTTGTCTCGAAACTTTGATGTACATCATTTCTATGTCTATGTTTTTCTTTGTGCTATTCTCTTTCTCAAAATATCAGGAAATATTCCCAACTGTTACCTATTTTCTACTTATCTGCAGAGTCAACGTTATGAGCCCTTCGGATGTTGAAAGCCCAAGCCCCAAGAATAATGAAAGAGTTAAATACCACAAAAATACATATAAATTACTTTGCCAAGAGAAAATAATATATAGAGTCTTCTATCTTGTGCAGCCAACACAAGAAAGATAGAATACACCACGCCTTCATTCCAAGCCAAAAATTGCGGATCCCAAATGCGGGAGGCAAAAATTATTATCCCAAGGCTCTCAAAAAGGGACGAAGAAGGCATGCTCAAAATTTAATTCTACTACTCACCCCATAAACATATCCAAAACAATGAATAGAGGGTGGGCGAGCGAGTGGCCAGGGGAAACGGGATAATTCTCCATGACAATGATCCAATGTATATTTAGTCATCCCCACTCGCCTGATCCGGCTCCGCATCGCTCATCGCCTCATCAGGTTCTTCATCCATCGCGTCTGCATTGAGGTTATCCATGTCGGAGCGTCGTGGCTCTTTATCGTGAGAAATAGCCCGCCATCCCTCGGGGGCTGAGGGGTCTTTGACATATTCAGACATGGGGAACTGCGTGTTGCGTTAGAACGCCTTGGACCCGGAAAATTTCAAACAGAAGCAATGGGAAAGGGAATGGGAAGTGGCAGAAAAATGAAAACGAAGAATGGCTCATTAGAACTTACATAATGATCGTTCTTCTTCATGGTGATGACCCAGGGGACATTGTCGAAGGTGACGGCGCGGATACGGAAGTATGTATTGTTCGGGATGGTGTTGACCTCTTTGATGAACGAGTCGAGATCTGGAGTTTTGACACCATTGACGGCTGTAATGAAGTTAGTCGGTGAGAGGCCATATTGGTAGGCAGGGGAACCGCGGCTCTGTAACGTGTATGGGTCAGCATATGTGGCTTTCGCATATTTAATACATCAGACATGAGCAGCTGTTACGTACCCGCGCGCTAACATAGACCTCGCTATGCAACTTGGAAATCTGCTGTCGAACAGCATGATGCGGCTTCTGCAGCACGGCGCCACAGAAAATCAAGGCGCGATCTGTCTCCAGGTCCTCAGTAGGTACTGTCATGATCTTAATACGCATTTCCTTGCCATTGCGCACAATGAGTGCATCGAGCGTTTTGTGGTGATACATGATATCAAACTCAGAGACGCGGGTGATCAGCTTATCATTGAGGGTGAGAATGATATCGGCCTCTCGAAGCTGGCGCTTATCTTTTGATAGAGGGGAAGCACAGTCCACTTTCCGCACCATGAATAGCTCATGACGCGCTGGGTTGGCGATAGCGACCTTCTCGATCCACTCTTCCGACACGCCCATGATGCGGGCCTGACTCATTTGGATAACGTAGGTCTCCATATCCATAATGCGGAGCTTGGGTATGGTTCCGTCTTGGATTTGTTTGATGATCGGGAGAAGGGAAGGGGTCGCAAGACCTAGGTGGTATTCAACATCCTTGTGGGAGTTGGTGGTGCGTTCCCCTAGGTAGTTAAGCCAGAGGGCTTGCACAACGCCGTCTTCCCCGATTAGCACGCCGTTGGAGCACTGGCTGCTTAGGCCCGTGTCCACAGTGATTGCGTCAAGGTTGAGAGCGCGGTAGCGTGGTGCAGCGGTGTTGGGTGTTATGGCGACAGTGGTAATATCAGTAACGACCGTTTTGGCCACAACAATTCGGAAATTTTGATTGAAGCCAACAAAAATGGTGTCAGAACCCTGTTTGATGTAAGTAGTGCTAAGCTTCGCTGTCTTGACTGGTGCCTGCACCAGACTTCGGTCGTATTGGATGATCGTAAAGTTTTGTAGTGGATGCAGGAAGATAACTTTTGCCATAACAATGATGGAGTCTGCGACGGTTACGTTGATGTCGCAGAGATCAAAGGGGACGATAGCTCTGGAAACAAGAACGAGACCTTTTTCTGCGTCGACCACGAGGCCGAATCCAGCTTTTCGCGCTTGTGGGAACCCGTCAAGTTTCACTGGCATTGTGCAGGAAACACGAACGAAGCTGTGGACGATATTAGCTGCTGCAGGATGGTTGGTACCATCGAGCTGAATAAAGTCCGCTTTCCGGGGGACTGGTGGTTCAGCGGGAATCGGCTCCGCGATATTTGTGAAATCCCATAAACCTGTCTTATCATTCCGGACAGCAAGTTTCATATGTGGATGCCAATGGCGGTCAATATGTATGATGCTTGTTCCTCTAGTATGCAAGTCTCGAATATGTCTATATGAAAGGGTTACTCTTGCGCGATCTAATCCGATAGTGTTAGTCAACACAATAGTAAATCTAAAGGAAATTAATACATCGCTTACCTGGAATTGTTTTCAATACTTCAATAAATTCATCCAAATTTCTCGTGGGCCGCTTGTCTACTGCATCAACTATCCAACCCGAAAAGGTGTTCTCAAGTTTAAACGAACCAGCAGCTTCACAGATATACACTCCCTTACAGGCGATAGCATACAGCCTCGCCTGCTGGTAAGAGAGGTTGTGAAAAGTGGCGCCAGCAACAGTGACGTAGCGATCAGGGGTGATTTTATGAAGGTCTCCAACGGAACACGAGACCTCCAAATCCTCTCCTCCCCGCTGCACAAGAAGGCTGACGTCTTTTCCCACACTCGAATCCAATATCGCATCCAGCTTTACAAACTGAGTAAGAAGCTCCCCGTTAACTTTGATCAACACATCTCCCTCCTCAAGTTTACCATCACCGGGGCCTTCTGGTAGAACGATTTCCACAACAAGCATCCCAGTTTCCTTGGGTGAGTATTGTCTAACTGCGGCTTCCCATGTAGGAGAAAGACCAAGCCGACGGCACTCATCAAATGGTTTGATGATCCACTGAGTCTGGATTGTACCTCGCGTGACCGGCACGCCTGCACGTATGCACTCCAGAGCTCGTAGTGGACGGTCTAGAGGTAAAAAGTAATCCGTTGCGGCGCCATCAACACGTCCACCAGCCTGTAACGCAATGGCGTGACCATCTATATTCACGACGGGACTACCGGAACTGCCACCACTAGCCGCAGCTGCGGCTTGGATATAATTGGTGTTGAAATCACTATACCCTTCACCGTAGTCTGGCGCATTCCGGTCGAGACGACTGATAACACCAGAAAGAATACTCAATTTCTCACCGGCATCGTTTCCCACGACTCTTATCTCGACACCAACTCTTGCGGCGTCCGGCGACAGTTCTAATTGTGTGACGGGCATGTATTTAATCGCGGCGGGGTCGAACTTCAAAATACCAAAATCGTGGACGGGATCTCTATAAACTGGTAGAACATCACACTACAAATTAAAAAGCCGGGCCTATCAGCATATGCTATCCCTGGAGAGAGAAAAGAGGGGGAAAGATACCTCTTCATGATTATCAAAAATACAATATCCCCAAAACGGCCCGGCGCAAACTACATGTCTATTGGTCAAGATATAACCCCTCTCCGCATCAACCACAAACCCCGTTGCCTGACTCGACGTGGACAGATCCGTATCAAACGAGGCCGTCTGACAGAAATGGATGGAGACAACGCTCCTCACGACGGTTTCGATAGTAGCCTGCCATTCCGGGGAATCTGTCTGGGCAGCAGGAGCAAGCGGGAGGATGTGGGAGATATCCTCGTTTTTATTTTCCAGAACATAGACGGCCTCTTTGCCCAACGCTTGGTCGTCTGGGGTTAATGGCTGTGGGGAAGAGGTATCGGGACGGAGGTGTTTTGCGGAGCGCAGTGAGACGGGTCCACTGCTGTGTTTGCGTTTTGAGCTCATGTTTATGGAGCGCAAAGCTGAAGTCGAGTGATATAGGGGGGAGGGGGAAAAGGGATATTAGAGGGAATGATTGATATAGCTTTTGTTGACGGATATATAAAACTGTTTTGTGTGATTCAAATACTTTTGACTGGCGAAGGGTACCACGGGTGGTATAGACTCCGCGGGAACCCGGAATTGGAGGAATCGACCTAGTCTAGACGAGAGGACGGAAAAGCAAGCGTTACAGGAAAATGTGGAGGAAGAGAGTGAGTACGTGGAGGTACGAGGCTGAGAGCTGTGGTTATGAATTGATAATTTCCCCGGTTAGCGGTTAGGGGATGGGATAACACCGTGAATATACAGCACACGGTTTCAAAATAAATGGACGAGGGTTGCCTGAAGCCCGGGCTGTAAATGCAAAGGGATAACGTCTGGATATGGCTTGGATACTGTTGCATCTGCTTTGCTATAGCGGATGTCGTGTCGTTCACGTTCGTTCGGTTTTATCTGGCTGTAGGGTTGGATGTTTGGCGTGTTTGGCGTGTTTGTCTTGTTTGAGCAGCACGCACTGCCACCAGCGAGCGGTTGAACGGCGCTTCCAAAGGAGCGATCGCCAGCGACAGGCTGCGAAGTTTCCCCAAGGTTGGGATAGTTAGGATTAATATAATCGATTATTACATTTGGCTGGATGACATTTCTCCTTGGTATACGGAGGAAACAATCCATGGAGGGTTCTGAGACATGAGGAGTATGTATGTGTATCCAGAGGTAGATGCCTCCGAGGTATCTATCCAACGCTGGATTTCGATCGCCTAGGCATACATGAAGGACGTAGTAACTCGTTTCTGTTCCTGGACAGTATCTAAAGAGAAAGGATTCAGCACTTCTCCAACTATGAACCGGTCACTCTATCACCTCTCGACGAAGGCTTGGAAATTAGACGACCAGAGTTTGGCTTTGTCTTCTCATATTTCTTATCCAGTTTATCCAACTGCAATAATTCCCAGCTCCTAGCTCCCCATACTACCGCTAGAACTAGAAAAGGAGCTCCCACAGGAGGTCTTCAAACAGTAGGTACAGCCAAAACAAGAAAGAGTCAAGAGTTGAATAGGGGGAGAAGGGAACCAAGCAAACAGAGCAGCCCCTAGAAATGTTTTCGAAGGACCACATATACGTATAACCTTGGAATACAAGCGCTGGTCATATAGATACATGTATATATACATATACATGAACGGTGTCGTCTATGATAAACATGTAGTAACTAGTGATCATGTCAGACAATAATGACATGTCCATCCATCCCTTCCGCAAGGTCAACCCTACACGCCCGTCGACAGGGTGTGTGCCCGTTTCCTTTGTCGCGACCAATGGGCCAAGCACATGTGTCATCCCCAATCACCGGATACGGCGGTTAAATCTGAATTCGAGGACCATTGCTGTCTCTGGAGTGGAAAACATTTGGGATGGGACACACACACACACACACACACACACACACAAATAAAAATAAAATAAACCATCATTGCCTTGGAAAGTGTTCTCGTATATATCTCCTAGCAAAGTTCTCTTACAGCCACCCCCCAAGATATCGATTTGATGGGGGGTTAAACCGGATGGCCTGTTTTAACAGCGACAGGAGGCTGTCATAGGGTCCAGCGCAATATGTTGCTCACGCCATCAAGAGCCAGGTAGAAAGATTACCACACGTATATATTGCATTACGCCTGAATTTGGCAAATGATGGAACCGGTATACACCGTTTTTGGCCCCCGAATTTCATTTTTGATGGGAGTTGTCTTCATAACCCCCTCGGAAGTGTGCAGAACAGAAAATTAATCAAACCATATCCACAGAACAACCGAGTAACCACTCATCCAGCCGTCTCCGCTGGTGAACCACGAACCATAGCTCCATTACCCTGCGGTGACTGCTGCACAGACTGGTATTGTCGTTGCTGCTGCAGCCGGTGTTGTTGCTGAGGCGTGGAGGGACCACCACCCTGCTTGCCCGCCCCGGCAAAGAGCTCGTTTAGTTTGCCATACAACTCAGTGACAGAGGGGACGTTTGGCGGCGGTGTCATGATCGCGGGGGCCAGGGGTGCTGCGGCTCCCGACTTCTTTCCCCTGTCGGCAACTGTGGCTAGATACGCCAGGTTTGCCTGTAGACGTCGCATGCAGTCGATGAATTCGATGCTGGGTTTACCTATAAGCACAGGCGATGGTTTGGATGCGTCAGTGGCAGGGTTCTGCGATTGAGATCCCGCGGCATCGGTGGGGGTGGGGGGGGATGTGGTTCTATTGTCTTTGATGGGTGACAACTGATGTGAGGCAGGTTGGTTGGGGGCTTCGCCTGCTTTGCCGGAGGCGCGAAGGTTCATGACCTCTTGTAAGAGGGCTGAGTTGATATCAAGGAGAATGGTCACACGGGCCCTTTCACGAGCAGTTTGTTGGGAAGAAGGGGTAGAAACAGGTGACTGGGTTTGCTGTTGTTGCTGATTTGGAGGCTGGGAGGGGGAGGGGCGGGGAGGGGTAGAAAAGAGGGGATTTGATGCGGCGACTGCAGTAGTTTGGGGCTGGCTCTGTGAAAGAGGAGCCATATTCTGCGTAGAAGGCGACTGAGGAAGCGGAGACTGCGCCAGGGACGTTGGGATCGATTGCATATACTGAGGATTTGAGAAATTTTGGGGGTGAGGCACTAGAGATATATATGACAGCAAGGAAATCGGTCAGTAAGTTTTGGGGGGGGGGGGGGGGGGTGCGCTGCTATCAGATAGACACTGGCTAGATCACAATTGAGCAAGTTTATGGAGGAAAGCACAGTGTTATAGAATGGAGTGAAAATCGGGATATAAAGATGGGAGGAATGGAGGAAGGGATGAGGGTGGGGGCATTGGACAGGAATAATCACGAACTAAAAAGGCCAATGGGGTAGCGATATAGAGGGAGAAATAAGATCCACGGGCTAGTTACGGCATGAGAGCAGCCAAATAACTAATTAACCGAAATAAAGAATCCCATTTAAAAACCAGATAAGAAGGGAAGGAGATGACCTACCAGGACCAACAGCAAGACCAGGCGAATGATGGGGAAGACCCGAGGACATCATTATGGTTGATGCAGCGCCGGCCCCAGCGTGCAGTGGAACGGGCCCGAAACCATGCTGCACAGGCTGGTGGTGGTGGATCTGTGGCGCTCTTGTCTGTGGAGGATAAGGATTTGGATTTGCAAAATAGGGTATCTGCTGAACGCGAGCTTGAGCTTGAGCTTGAGCCTGCGCTTGAGCCTGTGCCTGAGCCTGTGCCTGTGCCTGTGCCTGTGCCTGTGCCTGTGCCTGAGCCTGAGCCTGCGCTTGAGCCTGAGCCTGAGCCTGTGCTTGGGCATGGGCATGTGCTTGTGGATGCTGCATGGGGTAACCAGCGGGGGAGATGGCGGCCATGGGATGTTGCTGGAGGGCCGGATAAGAAGGTGGTTGATTCATTATTATTTAGCAGTATATATTATATATATAGATATATGCACACGACGTGGCGGCGGGAATATAGTCAAAGCAAAAATATTAGCTAAATAGTTAAAATGCCCGCAGGGTAGGGGGAGCCACGGTTGAACTCGACGGTTCGTAAGACAGTTGACAACGGGACCCAAGGAGATAGCGTTTAGCCAGAAGGATGAGCCGCCAAGCACCAAGGTAACAGGGTGTTGACTGGTGACTGATCGGTGATGGAACAAGTAAACAAGCGCGTCCGGTGTTTGAGTCGGTATAGGAGGGTATTTGCAGAGTTGCAAAAGCGTGTGAGCGTGTATGCGTCTGTCGTCGAGTTGGAGGCCAGGCCAAGTTTTGCGTTTCTTGGAGTCCTGCCTAGGCTTGAGACAGGGGGGCTGGGAGAAATAGCACCCGGCCAGCAGCTCCAACGGCGACACGGGCAATGGGGATGGATTGAAATTCCACGGGTGGGTTCTGCGGATGGATGGATGGATGGATGGATGGATGGATGGATGGTTTGATGCTTGGACGGTGACGAGGTCGAAGGTTATGGAGTCTGACTGAGTCTGACTGAAGCTCTGCTTTGTCAGCCGTCAGGGGCAGAACAAATTCGCCGCTGCCGTATCAGCTTTACACAGAGCGGGTCGAATATTACAGTCCCGTGATATTCATGCAGACTTCTTGTCTCTAATTGGCTAGCTGGGCTGACTAATAACTAACTTGGGGTCGTTATAGGACTAGCCATACCAACAGCTCTGAAACAGCTATACCACTATACCAACCCGCGCCAACCTCGGTTCAAAGGCTATTATCAACTTCTTCTATGAAGAGAGTGTGTAACTAGTTATGATAAACTGCTGTGCAGCACCGCAAATCACAGGCTTTCACAACCAATCCCAAGTTTTTTACTATGCACTACTTGCAGCCGTTGGTTTGAGCCTCTCATCTTTCGGCAATACTAATAGTGGGAAGTCCCTGGTGCACTGTACGCAGTATGGCTTAGGGCGTGGGTGGCACTGTCGATTCACTTCTCTCGTCTTGCCTGCAATATCCCTCTCTACTAAAGTTGCTGTTACACTTGGGTCGCAGTAGTGGGTGACCACGTTTCTTGGGAGCCTGTTGATCCCCCAAGCTTGAAGGATGACTGGCATTGACCAGTATCGATGATTGACGGCCACCGTCGTGTGCCAGTTTCGTAGATTGTGACGCTTGGTCCTTGAGGGAAAGTTGGGAAGGGAATGGGGAGGAGTCCGCGGGTGGTTGGGAAAGGCTGACAGCCTGACGGCTGTATTCCTCCACGACTACAGCTAGAAGGGGAAACACTTGACAGCGAAGGCTTATTTTATTTTAACTTACAGACTTGCCTCTAGAGCGATACAGAGTAAAGGTAGTCGAATGATCTTGAACCAAGCTGGAAAGTGCTGTTAATTCTCGTTTCAAGCAGTCATTTATCTTTCCGTACTCTTGACTGCTGTTTGCACCACTATCATTTGGACCAAAACCTCTTCATGGACTTGATGCGAACGGAGTACAGGTGTCTGTCATTTATATTCACACACCGGATGAGCTCTTCATCATCAGCCATGTTACCCAATCCAGGGTGATCATCGCCCATACTCTTACATCCACCATCCCCAAGCCAGGAGGGCTATGTTCGGTCTTCTGGTTTAAGATAAGAGAGGAGAGGCATGCTGTTTATCAAATGCACCATTGGCATATCTGCTAGTAGTACATACGTACGGTCAAGTAGGTAGTTAAGAGAACTACTTTGCACTTTAACCTGTGAACATCAATCGACACGTCACTTCTGGATTTTTTTTTTTTTTTTTTTTTTTTTGTTTTTGTTTTATTTTCTTTCAATCTTCACAATGGGCCCGGTTAACCGGTGTGTCTCTTGACTCTCTATCCATGGCTGGCCATCTATACTATCTAGGTATGTCTAATCATCAATTCTGCAACACAGAGAGCGTACCCCTTAACACGGGATTACGTGTGCCACCAGACGTCCTAAGCCCGTTGACCACGTCTTTAGTATTCTCCTCGCCTTCTACCTGTGGAGAGCTTCCAGTCTCAACCTTGATCCAGTCGTAGCCTCAATGTGCAAAGGGACAGGAAGTATTTTATACTATAATCTATGGCATTTAAATCTGCAGGAGAACATAAACTGTGAAGCAATACTCTGGGGCTATCTATCAATCCATCCATAACAATGATCGCCCTTGATAGACTTTGAGAAAGGAGTACATATCAATACTTCTGCAACTTTCAGTTATCAGCTTCCTCAATACCCCATTCGTTCTATTGTCAATGTGAGATTTAAATAGGAAATACGTGTATGAACTATGTATTGCCACGGCTCCAACCGCGAAAATGGCGAGGTCTGCAGATAATATTAGTATCAACTGCGTAGCTCGGATGTATGTTTGCTGCTCCAACTTGTTCATGGGCATATTTCTGAAATGGTTTTATGGATTCCTTGAATTTAACCAAGTGAGCAGATGGTCTCGTGTCGGGAAGAAGGCAAACGATCGGCACGTGGAGAAAATGCACTAGAAGGGAGGCAGATTGGGCCTCCATATCAGGGTATATTTGAAGGCATATATGGTAGGATCTATATGACGAATCATAGAGCAGCTGGAAAGTTAGCAAATTGATGAATAGATGTGTAGTTGAATCTGATTAGTTTTGCCCAGCCATTCTTTTCTGTTCATTTCAATTATGTTCCCTGACGACAGGAGAACAGTGTGAAGATCACCGCCGAGCGAGGAGCGCATGTATATTGAGTCGTTTCCATCAAGTTAAATCGTACTGGCGCATGCGAGATGGAGTCGCTTGGACACAGCAAAATCAATCAAGTACCCTTCCTCGCTTTCATTTCCTCAATCCATTTCTTTGACTTGGTCGTCGGCACAATGTTAATGCGTACCAACCCATCAACGACTTCCACTTTTCCCCCAGTCAGAATCTTCAGCAGCGACATTTTCTTCCCAACCTTGATAAGCCCACCAGTTACCGTCTCCATAAAGCAGTCAACAGAGTCCAGCCTATATTCCTGCCCTGAATCCCACGGCAAGGGGAAAATATAGCCCAAGTGATCTCCTATCGTCTCGATCTCAGAAAACGCCTTGACGAAATCCGACTGCGCATCCATGGGGTAAAGGAAGACGCTGGGGAACACGAGTGTGCTTTCAGGAGAAAGTGGATCGGGCGAAAGGTGAATGACAGCATCTTCAAGTTCGGGCGGTTTGTCCGACGCCCTGACTCTGATTTCCCTCGCTCGCAATGCGGCGTTGAGGACTAGTTTTTCCTTGCGAGCTCGTTCCTCCTCAGCACGTCGCTTCTCAGCGATTGCCTGGAGGGTTGATTTCCGCACGGATATTTTCGACGACATGGCTTGCAAGGATTTATTGAATGGGTCGAGTGTCAGACCTCGCGCACAGGTATCTTCTGCTTCCGGAATTTTGTCCAGGGCGAGAAGAGCGCATGTTGATCGGTAGTAGGCCTTGACGTTTTTCAGATTGAATTTCAACGCCGATGCACAGTCAAGGATTGTGGATCTATAGTTTTCTATATTGAAAGGTGTATGCATTAGCCCTCTGAACAATGAATACCTTTAACAATGCGTTTCTTATATAAGCTCCGATTAGGTTGAGGGGATCTCTGACTTAATTCCAAATTGCACAATGCGCGATTGGTATAACAGGCTTCCGCAATCTCGCGTTCCTTTATAATATCTCCCTCGGGATCATCACTTTTCTCCCATTCATTGTCCCCCGTAAGGACCCCAATGGCCTTGCTGTAAAATTCTTTCCCATCACTCCACTTCTTTTGCCTTGTAACTTCGTTTCCCGACTCGCGGAATCCCTGGGCAACTTCTGCTCTTGTTCCTTCATATTGCAGAGAGCGAATAGCTTCGAGCGCAATATTATCCTCGTCTGCAGAAAACAGAACTTAATATATCGATAATAGAGATAAAAGAGGATTACGGTATTTTTACCACTGACCTCCGTCAATTGCTTTTGACAGATCAGTCATAAATAGTGGGGTCTTGTTCATCATATCCAATATTTCATCCGCTGTATGTGACTTAATGGAGGACATACCAGGAGGCATGGCGGGGCTGGTTGTTGCTTGTGCTGAGAGGGCATTCTCTTTGATTCCAAAGGGTGTTTCGTTGAGGAAAGCTTGTGCACCGAGGGTAGGAGTGGGTCCGGCAGGGGCTGCTTTGTTGAGATTAAGAGATTCATCGAAGTCGTCAGGAAGCTTTTCTATGAGCACCATTGTGGGCAGATAACTGAAATATAAAAAGTGTTTCAGCAAAAGTTGTTTAAGCTGTTTTGGTTCAATGTTGATTTGAAGATTATTTCTTTTCCGCAGGTTTTCATAGATGATGTAATAGTTCAAACAGTGCAAACATGAAGAACTCAACCGATTGCATAATTAGGTAATCAGGGCAGACATTACTGGGTCACGTGGCTCGCAGCTTTCCCCCGCCTTCTCTCCGCTCCCGCTGTCATCTCGATGATAATAACATCCAGTTGATAGATACGATGTTTCAAAGAGAGCGTAGAGAATTGAAGCCGAGAGAAGTACGTTGCAGTGTCAGTTACAACATCCCTAATTGTTACTCTTGGATACCTTCTGCTCGGTCACTATTCTAATAGTGCATAAATCCACACGCAACCCCGCCAATATCAAGCCCAATAGATTCAAGACAACCGAACAGGGAGTATATGCCCTTCCTCCATAATCCTGTTCATCAGGCGTTGAGATACTCTGCTTCTTTACGCCATCTATAGGTCAAAACGGACCCCAAACTCACAACCCCGCCAACTTGCATTGATATTTTGTTCACATGAGAGGCATCAACACACCCTAGAACGCATGGATGTTCAGTACACGTGCAGGACGTATGTGAAGAAAGCATTCCAAACGCAGCTGCGTGGGGTAAGCATGTAACCAACTTACCGACGGTATGGGTCACCCCGAGACTAATTAACCTTTTATCGTTCATCTGGTTCATCGTCCCAGGAGAGAGGGTCTGCTGCGCTGGCAGCGCCTGCAAGACACAGGTCCATTGGAAACCAATAATGGAAATGTATGCCGTAAAGTCAGGATATCCGCCACGCTGGAGATAACCCTGCAATATTCCTTAGGATTTTTGGGTCGTTCCGACACTGTGGTTCAGACGTTGGTGGCTTGTAGCCTATAGAAATCCTGGAATGTTGCCGGGCTATTTATTGTTCTTCGGATTGAATGTGGACAATATGAGAAACCAAAAAACTTTTGCCAGCCAGGACTTCTGTATTGCATTTAGAGATGGCGGTATGAAACACGTGGAAACAAAATAGAACAGATGTAAAAGAGATAAAATATAAAAGTAAAAGTGACGGGTATCAAAATACGTCGTGCATATCCGCTGTGGGTCCGCGGGAAGGGAGCGGGAAAGATACAAGTTCTGCACAGGAATTGTATTTGAACCGCGAACGCCGGTTGTATATAGAGTGACCAGGCCATCATGAAGCAAGTGTATAGTCGCATAGTCGTCTAGCGTTCGTAAAACAAAAAGGAAAATGTTCTATGTAGTTGTATAATATCCACGTAGCCCAAATGGCCTGAGTTGATAACCAAGCGAAGCTCCCTACATCCAGCATATGCAAGGAGTCTTTTGCCGGTTAAAAACGATATATGCATCTATCGCAGCCCCGTTAACGCTCTCTGTCAATAGAAAATATGAAATTCTAGCTCCGTGAAACATGTTCTACTACCAATAGAAATATAAGAGAGAACTCAAGATATAAATCCCACCTCACACTCCCACCTGCTTCGCCATTTCCAGAATCCCCTCGATCAGCAGCATATTATCCTGCTTCTGGGTTGGGAGATGATGGCCCATATCTAATCTGTGGATCGTTCTCTTATCAGGAGTGCAGTGAGTTGTCGCCAGCAACTCCCCCTGACGGAACCAAGGGTCCTGGAGACCCAGAACATGCAGGGTGGGAATATCAATCTGAGGGAGGGTAATTTTGTCACCCTTTCCATCAACATTTTCATGATCAAGGAGATCATGCAATTTGGTTATTGGTGGTGAAGTACCACATATAAAAACTGCGAATTTGAACAGTTCGTCCCGATCAACCGTTGAGGACAAATGGTCACCACTGGTACCATTCTCGTTTCCATGCCCATTCGTTTGTTGCTGTTCAAGTAGACGCAGTTGCTGGTCCAACAATAGTCCGGCCGCCAACCTACCCCCCATCGAGAAACCCATAACGCCAGCAAATCCCCTCCCGTCCCTCTCAATCTGCTCGCGGATCGTCTTCTCTAGCAACTCTGCTGTGCGCGGGGGCATCAGCTTGGTATGTCCACGGCAGCGTGCATTATCCCTGGTCGATAATAAACTACCATCTTCATCGCCACCTGCACCATCTCTTCGATCAAGTGAACGAGGGGGAGGTGATGAGGTGGAGGGATCCAGCCAAGTGAAGTATGGAGCCGCATCGGCGAAAAAAGGTAGAACGCCAGGGCCAGGATTTGTTTCGAAGGGAGCGTCGAGGAAGACGAAGGAGAAGCGGTTTTGCAGCTCGCGGCGGACACGAGCAGTCTGAACTTCGAAAATGGCAGCGGAGGTACCGGAGCCGTGAAGGCAGAGGATGCTGGGTAGGGGTGACCGGCTCATTGGGTAGTTTGGTGGAAGTGGATGAATGGGGGACGTCGGTTGTATGAAGAGGCAAAGGGGCGTATACAGCCAAGAGAACCTGGCTGGCTATCGTCGTATATGAAATGATGCGTTGGCAACAGGAGTTGGTGCAGGTTAGGATCAGGGTTCAAATTGATGTCAGGATGTTATGTCAGGTCAGGCCATGTTAGAGTGCGGGGTTTTGGAAAGGGTCTTTTTTCCCCCATAGAAAGGCTGGGACGACGATATGGGGAGGTTTGACTATTGAGCACCGCCATCCCATCAGTTTCTTGCATCTAAACCGAGGACTAGGGGTTGCATACCCGATGGAAAGATGAATGCCTTATTACGTGGCTAGAGCATTATTAGCTACATGTTTATGTCAAGGAACATCCATAACCCTAAAACAGCTCCCCCCACTATCTGCGTGAACTGCGCAATCCCAGCCCAAGGGTTTCCGGATGAACCAGAATACCTCCCAGGGACATTTTCAACGCATGTGGGAGGTAGCATTACTTACGCAGTTGTGCATGCAACCCTCCCCAAGCCAGTGGATATTCCGCTAATCTCGTTCGATGATACGGTGAAGATACCATCAACGTCCAATCGGAGTTACAAAAGAATGGAATTAATAAAAGCGGACATCATTTTCCTATAGGCTCATCCCCTACAAGTAACCATTGCAGATATCCTAGTGGTATCCGCTTGGATACGCGACCTTGACAACAATTCAGAAAGACGCACCTCTGTTAACTAAATAGTGCCTTGCAATTACTATTATGCGAGATACTAGTTATCATGTCGACGAGTTTTCACTGAAGGCAGCTGTATTCCATTGGCCTTGCTCAGAGTTTGCAGCAGCGTGGCTTTTCCACTCCTAAGGGTATCCATGCCCTCGCAGTTTGCGGGTCACCAGACCCTTAATATGGAATAATCTGGATTGCATCTTCGTTTAGTGCGGTTGCGAGGAGTGTTAGCTCTTAACAGGGTGAGGGAGTCAAAGCACAAAGCATGGGGTGTTTTTATAACATATTGGCTACCGAACCTCGGAGTCAGCAAGATATATTTATCTGGGGATTGAAAAAATGCTCAGGATGAATTCCAACAAGCCGATCCCAAATTCACGAAATCACAGCCTAAGATTAACTCATAAAGAGGTCGAAAAAAGTAAATTCAACCCACATTCCCAACGGGGAAATCCATCCTTAGTACGGTGTAGTTTTCACCTATATCATGAATCACCCCCTAATTTGTTCCGCGCCAGTAGCATACGTAAACACCTGCTCGGGATCTGGAGCTTTGAAACGGGCACCTGCAACACGTCTCCAACAATATACACAGGAGGCGGCTGCTTCAGTGCCTAAATTTGGTCCCGTATCTTGCGCACAGTCACCAGAAGCTCAGGGGGAATCTTCTCCCGCGGCAGAGTCAGTAGTTGCATCCCTTCAATCCCCATGGTCTGCAGCGCATCTCTGAATAACTTCAATCTCCAAACTCCCTCGTCCTCTTTTTATGAATCCTTTCATTATCAAAGGGCCCCTTCTCCATATCCCACTTGGCAAAGACCGGACTCACCATAGCCATTACATCCGCCCACATGCACCACCACCACCACCGCATGCAGGTCAGGATATGCCGAAGCTCATACTGATCAGGCAGTAAGGTCTCCCGGTTCTCAGGCGCATAGGAACCAACGGGTGAGGATTCAACTCCTGGACAACTCTTACACACCCAATCCAGGATGCAGACCTTGACATAGTCGAGTCTAGAATCTAGATCAAGGAATGGGAGCGGTGAATCTGCCCCTTCCTCGCTGGACCCAGGCTCCAGGAATGGCTTCATTCTACTACCAAATAGCTTGCCGTAGATGATAAGCTGCAGTGCCGCACGGTTGGTGTCAACAGAGAATGTGTTGATTTGCTTACCCCCCTGTCCCAGAAGTTGGGTGTCTGGTACCATGCAGCACCGGCTATCTTGTCAATTACGTCCGCTAGCGGATTGATGATGGACAAGCGGGCTTCATAGAGTTTGCGGATCTGATCGAGTGTGAAACCCGCATTGAGGTCATTGATGACTTATGTATGCAAAATCCATAAAGGCCGTCAATACCGCCCTGGCAGGCGGCACGGAGACGGCGGCTATTTTCTTCGTTACCGATGGTCTAGTCACGGACTTGCTGGGCCACGGCCATGACCAGGAAGTGCGATTGTGGAGAGAAGAATGTTGGGGCGGAGGGGGCAGCTAAAAGGAGAATCACCCTTGGTACAGTGTTGGAGAGGATTGAGCGGAGCCTACGACATGTGCTTGTTGCGCTGATGAATGTTTCGATGTTATCAAAGTAAAGGGGAAGCATGAAAAGGATATTGGTGGGCAGATCGAGGAGAGACGGCATGGTTAACTAGGAAGTAGTTATATGGATTGACGTTGAAATGTGTCGATGAATGTTTGGATTTGGGATTCGGGGAAGTCGATTGTGTAAATAAGTTTACGTAGTTAAATATGATCAACTACTTCTTTAGCTGAGTAGAAGTTACCCAACCTGCAACAAGACCAGAAGCTATACGGGGCGTATTTCTTCTAGGGCATGTATATAATAGAATAGTTTGTTGTTTGAGGTTGGTTGGTTGGTAGTTAACTTAGTGGTGTGTGGTTGAATGAATTAGGAGGCATAACTCATCAGTTTGTCCATTCGCCCCTGAACTAAACATCAGACAGATAACTTTACACATCATCTTGAACATGTTGGAGGGCAGAACTACAGGTTAGGAGTAAAGAAGAATTCTGTGAGTCCAGTTATTATTTTCTTTGAATGTGATGATATGCCATTTGACCTCTAGCCAAAGCAAGCAGTTATTGATACTAATATGATGTCTTCAGATTGACCATCCCAGTAGGATGAATTTAACACTCACAGATCTTAGATGGGAACATCATTCAAGTAATCTATCATCTTCAAAAGCACATTATCAATATCGAAATCCTCTATTAACCCATCCAGGGCTTCTTTCACCAAATGTCTTGGTTCAAATTTAAGGAGAACTTCCAGGCAAACTTCATAAAAATCACCTTGTTGTCGAGTCCTTGAATTAATGGATGGGACAAGTCCGAGGGGAAATGACTATGATGCAAATAGATAAAAATGCATGTATCCAAATTATTAACTGCGCTGAACATTAGAAAAAATAGTTTAATGCCGTGATTTCCATCCTAATGGCAGGACAGTTACAGAGTTGCTCTGCTGCGACTCGAGATGACTTCCTCGATGTTAGGATGGAAATCCCGTGGCTTTGCAAGATGAAAACTTATAATTCCATGCAAAATGGATGAATGGCTACCGTTTGATAGGAAAGAAATGAAATTTGTGCAGCAATCGGAGCCTTGATCAGAACCACCTGGGTCCAAAGACATTTACTGTTGGGTCGTTTGCTGTTGATTAGAGCATCCACGGGTTACTATCTTAGGGTTCTTGATCTGCCGACGGATCCAAGCCATGGAAGCTTCCAAGGATGCCCGTAGTTGCGTCACCTTGGATACAGAGAGGCCCCAAGCATCGAGCCCATTGCGTTGCCTTGCACAAGAATTTCAAGGAGTGCTGCATCACTGGGGAGGGAAATGGGACGGGATTTTCAGGTTTCTGACCTGGTGCCCTGGTCTCCAGAATAGGTACTGGATGCCTTGACGTGTAGTTCGTATCAGAAAACCCACAGATAGGTGAGATTCAGTCGGATGGATTTCAACTATTACTAGTTGTTGACTAGTTCTTGTTCTTTCGCCCCAGGTTTAACTATCACATTTTTCCTCTTAGTTAACCCGGTAGTAATTATAGTATCTCTTACAGCGGCAAAATCCTGAAACATTCAACCAAGGGTTCACAATGCCATGCTTTCAAAACTGATGACATGCTAGTTGGATGGAAACAATCGATTCATGAACACAGGACTCTTGAAAATATCGCAAATGAGCAAATATGTCAGATGAAAGTGCAAAAGGAAAGGGAAAAGATACGTACAAGGAAAAGATCCAGTCCCCTCGTTTGAAAATAAAGACAAATTGCAGTCAATTGCAGTCGCTCAGACTTCGCCCGCCCTATTCCCACCAAAGCAGGCATAAAAAATTAAATATCCAGATGATCCAAATCTCGTGGACACACCCTTCAATTACAGAGCTTGGATTTAACTGGACGCCGCTGCTCTTTTTCCGCAGCAGACTCGTTATGTGAGTTCCCAAACTCCTTAAAATAGCTACCGGTTCAGGCACTCAAAAGTCACTGCATGGGACAACCCCATGTTGAATCAATTTCTTAAGCACCACCACTAGCCATCTGCGACAAGTAACACCTGGAATAGTGGTTAGTTTCCCATCATACACGCGCATGAGGTTGTCAAGTTGCGCTTGCATCCTGTGGGACCGTCGCAATTTGGATAAACACATATAGGAATTCTACCCGCAATATACTGTTCTTTTGAGCGCTGTGATCGGATATCCACCCGCTACCTAGAGTTCTGATGAGGTATTTGGCTTCCCCTGTTGGCTGCGAGTGGAAGTAATATGCCCAATGAAAGTCATTCGCAAGCGGAGGGTCGGAAGAGTGTGTTTAGGGAAGGGTTTGCCAGAGCTTCATCTTGGGACTGTTTGATGATTGCTGCCTTTTGTCTGCTGTAAGACGGATGGTTTGATCCTCTGAAGCCATCATGAGAAGCGGGCCGCGGCACTGGGTTTGCTGGGTGTGTTGAGCGGTGTAATCAGATGGAGAGAGGGGTTAAGTGAATATATAAGAATCCTTAAGTTTTCAGAACACTGAGAAAAGTTTCCGATATCCAGGCAGAAACAATGACATATTGACGACTATCAGTATCTGTTGCCTGCCCAAATCTAGAAACTAGTGATAGGGCCAAATTCCTGCTACCCGTCGATGATTTGTCCATGTTGTCATCCGATCTGAGGTAGGGATAAGCATCCAAAGCGTAGGAAATCTAGTCTGCAAGAGATGTACTCCGTAGGATGGCATCAACTATTGATTCTGATCCAAGGATTTATGAGACGGGTAGGTAGTTGGTTAACTATTGGTGGACAGGTGGCGCTACTCTGAACAGTAGTTGAACCGAATTCCATTCCAGCTCCATGCAACCCCATGTTTTGGGTGCAATAGCAAACTCTCTGGGGGGGTTCCATTAAATACCCAGTACCACATGCGCAACATGTGGTTGATATCTAACAGCATATAGACGGCTGAAATCCCATGGAGATAGGTTCACTTAAATACGAATACTGTTAGTATCTGTCTTATCTCTGGTCTAGGTTTGTAACATTCCAGCACAATAAATAACTAGTGATGTGTCTTTCAAAGAGTTTGAGGATAACCTCGCCTCGCCTGGTTGGACTCAAAGCTAGATCAGACAAAGTGAACTCAGCAGAGAACCGCAGATGTCACCTCATATCTTCCATATCTTAACAGCCATTATTGCTTCCTCTCTATGACCATGCCACAACAAATGAGCAGAGTTTGGAGGGGTATTCCAGCATCCCCAAATATAGGAGCCACGTCCCATTGAGGGAACAGGTTGACGCAGGTTTGTAGTTCTCAAATGGTGAACTCCTGAATCCTGTGGATTGGATATTGCATGAAGGTTGTTAGGGTTTGCTTTGGGGTTTGTTCTAAGGGCTTTTTTTATGTCATCGCATGGTGAGTGGAGTAGCAATGGGAGAAGATGTTGACGTGGAACGGGAGGGGTAATGTGATGTCTGGATCGCATATTGCATACAGATCGATGGTGATGCTCTCAGAGGTTTCTGCTAAATAGTTAGCTGATCTGCTCGAATCACTTGTTAACGAGACTGAAAGCCAGTTAGCGAAATTTTTAAAGGCTCGCCGGACACCCATTCAGCTCAGCCCCACCATGTCCAATATTTACATAAATATTTAATTATCGCTCGTGAGCGAATACCCCCACGATTGCGGGAAATACCAGATCGGCAAGATCACATCAAATTTGAAATTGTATGTAGTGTACATACATACAATGTACAATACATCTAATCTTCCTCGCCTCCTCTCCGCAAGATGACAGACTTAATTTCAGCTGGCCTTTCAACGGGGATTCAGCGTCCCGAAAAACCATAATTCAGATCAATCAGGCTATGGCAGTGCATCGTGGATATCTCCCTATGGAGACATCATCCGCAACACCCTCATAGCTTGCTCCGCAAACACGTCTCAGCTTCAGCAAATAATTCTGAGAGAACATCTGCCACAACGGCCAGCGGGGTATAGAGAAAAGAGGCCGATAAGTGTATCAGCCGCGATGCGGGATCAACTACCACTGCAGTTGGTATCCATACAGGAGGTGGACAATTGCAAAAGGTCATGCAGTGGTCAGTGAAGCTTTACAACTTTCCTCCATACCATTTGCTTTTCCCTTTTCTTCATTTCCTTGCTTTTTCCTGCTGTCCGGCGAGCATCTGCTGACCTATAGTTAACTAACTAGTCAAGTGGCTAGTCTTCAGTCCTAACAGATCCAGAGTATAGGGAACTACATGCTGTGCATTGTTAACCTCTACTTCCCTTATGAGGTAATTAGCCGTACACTTGGACCACTGGCTTACAGATCATATAATCAGTGGAGTAAACTGTGAGCGTCATAGCATAGTAGATTTACACACGTCGGAGATGCATAAACGATTGATTGTCTTAGAGCCTCACGATTTGCACGGCAATGTCTCCAAAAGAGTCGAGATGAGAGAGCACTGTACTTCCGAATGGCCAGAGAGTATTTTCGCCAAAACCTCAGCAACATATCTGCTGTTGAAATGTGGTATTGAATCGAATAACATCTCCAGATTTCGTATCCAGTTAGAAAACAAGGTTAACCACTTGGGACATATAAGATCAATCCTTGAGGCTGCATGGTCTTCACGATTAGACTTCTCGCAGGAGTTGACTTTTAATTTTCACTTCAAGTCCATAACTAGTTATCGATTGAGACACAAAAAGATGTTTCACTCATATACCGGAATGTTTTCAACTTTGATTCCTTCTCCTGGCGTCGGCAGGCACAGAGATAGTTGCGTTAGATCAAAACTTCCCGTAGCATCATGCACGCAGATATCAAACAAGAGAGAATCGAATATTTATCATAAACATAGTTGCCAGAGAGGGTCCGAGGACATGGAACATCGCTTTGCTTTATTCGCCCAAGGATTATTTAGTTATTTTGCTTTGTCCTAATGAGCTGTGTATAAATACCTCGTTCCGCATTTGGATCTCAATAGAAATAATCTCTTAACTCAAATTTAAAATTCAAGGGGTTAAAAAGATAACTTAAACGGAAAGTTATAGTTAACTATGAATTCAGCTTGAAACAGCATTGAATGAACAAGACTCCTTACATAAGA